TATGATCCTTTAACCATTGGAAACTGAGCTGACTTGTCCAAACTGGAAGCTTGTCTATCTGCAATTAGGGGCTGGTTATCTGATCATTTTCAGCTTCTTAATGCTGATAAGACAGATTTGATGGCCATTGGACCACAAAATGTTCACTTGTCTTCGTGTATTGATTATTGTAATGGTCTCCTCTCTGGGTTGATGAAGAAAAGTTTTAGAGGTTTGCGGACGGTACAAAATGTGGCTGCCTGCATTTTAACCAAAATAGGGAAATATGAACACATTACTCTAGTACTGAAATCTCTTCACTAGTTGCCTTGTACGGTTCGAGCAGATTTTAAGATCCTGTTGCTCACCTACAAGACTTTAAACGGTCTGGCGCCTTCATATCTCTCTGACCTTTTGCACCTTTATGTTCCCTTCAGTGCTCTCCAATCTCAGGGCAGAGACAGTCACAGCAGTTTACTGGTTTCAGGTGCTGGATGCCAAGCACTGTTGTTCACTGGTGCACACTAGTACTGCTGGGTAACCCTCACAATTGCAACATGATACTTTTTTCTGCTCATTTAGTTTAATTTCATGTTTTTGTTCAATCAGCCCCATTCTGAGTGAGTTGCTTCCTTTTCTGCTGTGGAGTCCTTTTTGGCCAGTTGTTGTTTAACAGGTCTGAATATGCATTTAATTCAAAAGTGTTTAGCTGATCCCAACAAGTCAGTTTCATCTGTCAGGCTTAATCATAAAGCACATGTAATGTATTAATGAAACTCAGTCAACCTTCCAATGAAAATCAAGCGGAAATTTCATCATTTCACCAAACCCCAAGAAGTGTACAGCTGAATTTTAAAAGTACTTACATTTGATAAATGAAATTTTATGTTTTTGTGAATTCTGAATACGCCCTAAATAAAATATATATCACTCACTCAGACAAACAAAAACATTCCTGAGTCTGGGTCTTAAGAAAAAGGAATAGTGTATAAGAAAGAATAAGTAATCTCAGCTAATTAAAAATAATAATAATACAAACGATACAAAAATGTACCAAATACCAAACCACCAGCCCAAAATCTCACATACAAACATTCACTGAAAATGTTGAAAGTATAATTGTGCCTCTTTGTCCTCAAGAGAGGTCAGAAGTGTAAATATAATATAAATGGCACTCAGAAATAGAAGTGCAAGTTGCAAAGCCATAGCAGATATAAGCCTATCTGATGAATCTGTGTGTCTATCATGGAAGACTTTAGCAAATTTAGCTGAATATGCATGGGTCACAATGCCAACATGATCAGCATTACAACTAATGTCGATCCACTGCAAGCTGTAGTCACAAGTTTGGTTTCTGCCAGCAGCTACATATCAGATGAAGGTTTTCCTAGATATAAAAACATTATGGTGTTAGTCATCCTGTCAGTTTCATTGCTATTGTCAATCACTGAATGGAGAATATGTCAGTGAACAAGTCATTTCTGAAACCAAATAATTGTGCAATGGGACAAATGAGATTCCTCCATTTTTCTTTAATCCTACATATTAAATTTCTTTACAAATACTGAAATATGAATCTTCTCATGGTAAAGACTGATTGGTTTTCTCCATTCTCCACACGACCAAGTAGGGCTGCTCAATTAATCGAATCTTTCAACGATCATTAAAAATGACTGAGCCGATTATTAGCCCCTCCCTCGTGCTTTACTCTCGCGCTGCTCCGTGTGGCAAATCGAGCGCACCTCTCTGCATTT